GGTGAGGTCAATAGTAGACAGTCTAAGGTTAAAGTTTTTGGGGTTTGGGGAAGAAACTACAGAGTCGGGTAGAGTATTCCAGACATTGACCACTCTATTGCTGAAGTCGTATTTTCCAGCCTGTCTGTCTTTAACAAGATAGTGGGATGAGCATGAAAGAATGTTATTGCAGGTGCTTTTCCGTTAAACTATCTGTTGCTGGAGTCTGGAGTTGAAAGAAAAGAGTGACCTTGAAAAAGAGCTCTACAGAAATTTGTTTGGATTTTGACAAGAGAGCCTTGGAGATTGTACTGTGGCAGTGTTTTTCTTTGTGACAGAAAGTTTTTTTTCTCCTCTGCTTCCTGCCCCCCCCTTTTTTTGCTTTTAGCTGGCATCTGTGCCTGATTAGCTTTTCCGATGGAATTTTTTTTTTCATCCATACTTCATCTTGAAGTATGGTGGATTGACATTTGGAATGAGACACAGGGAACTGTCTCTGAGAAAAATGCCAACCCTGAGAGAACTCAGGTAGCAGTATTTATTGAGAAAAAACACAAGCAAAATATACAGTATGCATATTCAGAAAACAATGACCTCAACAGGAGATTACTTCACCAGCATGAGAACACACAATCTTGGAAAGTCCCAGATGTTACCTTGCTAGGATGAGATCATATAGCCACGGAAAGTCTCATGGGAAAGTTTGGAAAGTCCCATGAGAAAGCACAACTGTGTATCTTGTACCTTGAACTTTCACCCATTTTCCTATTCCTTCTAAACTGGCAGAATCAAAACAGAATGAGGCACTCTGAGCAAAGATACTCCTACCCCCACCAAGAATGCCCACATCTCCTAGACTTACTGCTAGTTATACAAAGGCCTTACAGAAAATGATAAAATGATTAATAAAATATATTACCACATTGAAGAACTTTCTCTGAGTCTGTAGACCCCACTTTGGCTCCCTGTGTATTGATTTTACTTTTTAGCTCAAATGTCTATATTGTGTTGCTTGGGTCATGTATGTCAAGCTCGAAATTGACATATGTGTAGCCATTTTAGTTAGGCTTAGTATATTTCTTTTTCTTACTTTCTCTTTGGCAGTCATGGGGGAAGGGTTTCGGGCTTGGCACATTTCTAAGGGGGGAGGAGTGGAGATAGAGAGAGTTGTTTAGGCTAGGAGATTCTTCTTCCTGTGGGAAAACGAGCTGACCATGCTGAGGCCCCTTGAGGTGCAGATTTATGACATCAAGCAATGTTGAATTACTTCTATTGGAGAATGTGACTTTTGGGGGTTGTTTCTAACTTCTAATATTGTGGGGTAATTCTGGGTTGCGTCAGATCCAGAATTACCACAGACTTTGCCAATTTGATGCTTTCCTAAATAAAATAATTTGTTTTGGAAGATGACATTTGTTCTTTTCATTTTAAATGGATTTCATCTCTTGGAAACCTGACAATGTATTTGAGGGCACAAATGAAAATGTATGAAAGATACAATGTACAAGACACTCAAAGGAGGCCAAGGGACGTCAGAGGTCTTCTAGCCCAACCCCCTACTCAGTCCTTATACCAGTCTAGGTTGTGTGCTCCTGTATGTATGAGGGGAAAGTAGGTATTGTAAATGAACTACAAGACCTAACATAAGTTTTATTATTAAAGTGTTCAATGAAGGTGATCTATATTGTGCATTTGTATTCGTGTCTCTTGTTAGATATATTGAGAACAGGATGCTGTGCACAATGGCTGCAGGTCAGAAGGAAGGTAAGGTGTAAATTTGAGAAGAAAAAGAAGGAAGGATGATGGATGGATCTATGGAGATTCTCACTCATTCAGGTCATCGTTGTCCTAAAGGTGCATTATCCAAAAGGCTACTCAGAGAGCTAACAATCAGATGATCACTGCAAAGAACGTAAATACTTCCATTCTCCACCAGTCAGTTAGAACTGAAGAAGCTTCTTGGATGAGAAGTGAAACCTTTTCAAAGAAGAAACTAAGTAATTCCAGTTGTCTTTTGATAC